GAAGGCCATGTTCAGGATTGTTTTTATCATAAAACATCAACAACAAAATCATTTGGTTTTATAAAATCAAAGGCAACCATTTATTAATTTTGTTGCTGTTACTAGTGTGAATCCATGACCAGTCGGACCAAAGACCACTCGGTCCAAGGCGTTGTTGTTGTTTATTACAGATTAAACGTCCAATACAATGAATATGATATTATGGACAGGTTGATTTAATTAAATTATTTACAGTTGAAAATTGTTAAAAACACAAAATAAAAAGGGTCCTCGGGTACCAAAAAGTCCCTGAAGCACTATTATAAATTCGCTGTCGTGAGAAGAGAGGGCGGATAATCTTCTAACTTTGTCATAATAAAGTTGAAACTAAAAAAAATGAAACAGGAGGTCCAACTGACTGATGTTTGGCGTCATCAGAGCGGATAGAAAAAAAACCCGTTGGGAAAAAGAATCCGCTGGCTTTATGTGGAAAGAGAAGTGCTCGCCGTTAAAACCACATAGCTGGACCTGTAGATTATTTACATATTAAAATTGTTCGCCCGATAAGTTCCATGTTGTTAAAAATTAACTGACTTAAAAGTTGCAGGCATCCCATTAGAGTTTTACTTGCGTACGGCTCTTCACAGATAAAAATTTACCTGAAAAGAAAAAGAAGAGCCAGCAGCAATACACAAAAAAATATTAATTAAAAAAAAATTAAACAATAAGACAAATTTCACCATTAAACTCGGGTTAAATTGATTGATGTTCACTGTCATTGTTAATAATGGTTGTGTAGGTCCCTATTCCTTTATTTTGTTATTAGTTTTCCTTAAATCGAGCAGCAGGCTGATCCGCCATACTGTCCTACAACAATAGTTCCTTCTTTGTAACTACATATGTAGTTCCCTATCTTAACGTCTCAAGTGTTTTACACAACGTAGAGATCAAACTTGTCGGCCTGTAAGAACCGGTTTCATTTTTTCTGTAGGTTAATCACAAGATTAAGAACTAAGCATTTAATTACCGACCATAAATTTAACCCAGTGAAGTGCGAATGTTGCCACAATTTGACTGTTAATCATGTCATCATTGCGTGCAATAAATTTGACAAGACTCCCTTTACGAAGTTTTTAATGGAAAATGCCAAACTTCAATATATCCTCCAAAATGTACTCCCGCCCCCCTCATAATGTCATATAAGATTTATATGGCCACAAATCACTAAACATTTGCCCATTGACTTTAATGTTAATTCTCGTCTCTTAGACCGGCTCTAACTTTTTCCCAAATTTTCGTTGGGTAGAACGCTTTCTACCACAGATGGAGCAACATGTAGCAACCTCTTGCCCAAAAGCACGTATGAGGTTCACCATGGAAAACTTGAGATACACAAGCTGGAAGTAGAGACAAGAAAACATGCAATTTTGGACCCTACATTTCAACCTAACCAACCTCTCAACTCTTGTATCCTTCCGCCTCAAAATCATGAATATTCACCAAAACCTGGTAGAAAATGTATTTTCAAACCCTTTTCTTCGATTCTACACCAAAAAGTCAACAAAAATCGACATGCAAAAGGGGGAAAAAGGGAAAGGGAGAGAAAGACTAAAAATAACTTTCGCCCTACATTCGTGGGTGACGGCGTAGAAATATTTGGTGAGCTGTGTCCTATATAGGGGTGAAACTTCAGGTATCACCAAAAAGTCTTTTTCATATGCTTCCCATATGTTCTGGTAACATACCGGTGAAAGGAAATCAAAATCAAAGAATAACTGCAAAAATGATGGCCCTTTAAGTATACATGCCGCTTTATGTACAGTAGTGCATCTCAGGTCCATGGGCCTTTTGTGCTAAAATTTAAAAATCTTTCTTATTAATGGCAGTATTTGAGTTCTGTGAAAAAATTAGACAAGTTACAAACAAATTACACAGAAAACACTCATAAGCTGGATTTTTTTTCAAAAATATAATTTTTTACTGCCATGTCATGAAAAATGTACAAAATTATTTTCCACTTTTTAGATAGCCAGACCGAAAAGGGATATATTTTTAGAAACCCTGGCCAATATACAAACCGAAAAATCACAAATCAGCTGCATTGATTGTAATATTAGAGATCTATACTTAAACATGTATCCCCACCCCCTAAATATGTCACTGACTGAATGAATCTAATCTTTTGTTGCAGAAGTAACATAATCAAAGCAATCTGTCTAATAGCTATGTTTTACCATCCCTGGCTAACATATGTACATATAAACTAAAATGGTGCAATAAATATGAATTATGGTTAAAAATAGGCCTTGATGAAAGAAAAAAAAAATGCCATATTTGGTATATGACCACCCTTCTCTAAAAAAAAAGGGTCACAGAATACACAATTTTCACAAATTTGGGAAAATTTCAATGTTTTCAACATCTCATGGCTCAGAGGCACCATACAAATCTTTATTGCAATTCTTGTGCTGAAGCAAGATGTCTGGACCTTTACATCAATTGTCTGAAAAAATGAAGTCCAAAAAGTAATTATGACAGAGTTGACAAGATGAAGGGGGCCTGAAAAGGAGCAATATTAACATTTAACTGTTCTATAAGTAACATAAATGCAACAATCACCACAAATCCTAGACTTTGATAAGAAAATATTGAACATTAAGCTGACATTTACACATCTACGCCAGTTTTATATTAGGGTGTGGTCTCATTGACCTGACATGTCTCTGGGTTCTAAGTTTGACTTAAAACAAAAAGGCTTAGAAATCTTTGAAATGTACAAAATAGCTATTTATTAGTGAAAAACAACATTCCTAGCTGTAACTCTTACGTCTGTAAGTAAAATATTGCAAAAGCCTTATGGATTTTTCACGTTTTGAGATGGTGGCACTTCCGGTTCGCTCGACAAACGATTTTTTTTAAACCTTTGATCCTTAATTTCATCAAGGGGGTATAAGATCTACTTACATACTAAATTTCATGAAAATCGTGCAACTATTAAAGAAGTTGTCAAGTTGGTTTCAACTTCCGGTTCGAAATCAGAGCGACAAATTTTCAAAATCCGAAAATCCGAAATTGCAGATTTGAAGTAAATGTTTCAATGTACTCAAAGAAAAAAAAAAGTTAAAATAGCTCAAATTTAATAGTCACAAAGTTACAGCAATGTAGGTCAAATGCATTCGTTCGTAAAATTCGGTGATTTCGGATGAGTAAAACGTTTTGAAAATATATTCATTCCAAAGCCACCTCCCATTCTTGGGGGGGGGGGGGTAGGTCAAAGTTTCAGAACGATCCTACGGTTAGATTCTGAGATATAAGAACCAGCTAAACTTGAAAAAAACCTTGTTGGCACAGAAAACATCAAAGGCGAAATTCGAATTTTTGAAATATTCAAATACCAAACATTCGACCATGATCCAGGCTATCCTAAAAAGTATTGATTTCGGTAATAGGAGACAGATTCTCTAAGCCACGACCAATTGTGTATGTTTTCAAGCCCATTAATGTGGATTTTTCACTAATTTTCATTTTCAATTCAAAATGGCGTCCATCAGTTGACCTTAATCAAAATTCTAATCCGATAGATTTTTAGGCACTCCTTCAAGGATTCAGAAAATGTAACTGTTATGTCTGTAAGTAAAATATTGCAAAAGCCTTGTGGATTTTTCACGTTTTGAGATGGTGGCACTTCCGGTTCGCTCGACAAACTCCATATTTTGTGTACACATCAGTAATATCTTAGCTAGTACCGAAAAAAAAAATTCAAGGCATTCCAAAGCCACCACCCATTGTTGGGGGGTAGGTTAAAGTTTCAGAAAGATCCTACGGTTAAATTCTGAGATATAAGATTTGCAGGAAATACACACAAAAAAAAAAAATAATAATAATCTTAACAGAAACAATAAGCTTTCATAAGTAATACATATGAAAGCTTAATAATAATTTCGTCTGAAAGACTATTGTTTTTACTAAAATTATTATCATTATTAGGCTTTCAGACTTTCGCCTATTGAGATTACTAAAATTATTAAACTTTCAGATTTTATATGAAAGCTTATTGTTTCTGTTAAGACTATTGTTTTTACTAAAATTATTATTATTAGGCTTTCAGACTTATTATTACATATGAAAACTTATTGTTTCTGTTAAGATTATTATTAAGCTTTCATATGTATTACATATGAAAGCTTATTGTTTCTGTTAAGATTATAATTATTAAGCTTTCATATGTATTACATATGAAAGCTTATTGTTTCTGTTAAGTTTAATTTTATTAGGCCTAATCTCAATAGGCGAAAGTCTGAAAGCCTAATAATAATAATTTTAGTAAAAACAATAGTCTTTCAGACGAAAGCCTAATAATAATAATTTCAGTAAAAACAATAGTTTTTCAGACGAAAGTCTGAAAGCGTAATAATCTTAACAGAAACAATAAGCTTTCATATAAAATATGAAAGCTTAATAATCTTAACAGAAACAATAAGCTTTCATATAAAATATGAAAGCTTAATAATCTATAGTAATCTCAATAGGCGAAAGTCTGAAAGCCTAATAATAATAATAATTTTTATCTCACAAAAACAATAGTGTTTCACCCAAGCTACGCAGTGTGAAACCCTAATTAAGTGTTTAACAGTTTATTTAACAATAAGTACAACTCAGTTAATTAACTGCTAGTCTAATAACAAGGGGTTGAAACAGCCCGGCGTGAAACAGCCCGATAAAAAAATAGGTTGGGGTGAAACAGTCGTGGGATGAACTGACCCGCATCCACCATTAGATTTAGAATAGTAGCAATAATAATATTGGATTACGGGTCCGTAAATAGCCACAGACGTCTTATTAAAGTACAAAAAACATAACAAAACACAAACTCCCGCACGAGCTGCTGTGTGTTTAAATTCTGACTTCCTGGTGCAGTACAGTCTAGTGTACAGAAAACTTGGCATCTTTATGGGATAAAAAAAGATGCAGACAGATTATGACGTCAGGAAGGGAAATTCCTTTCATGTCGGGCCGCCATATTGTATGAGTCAGTAGTAGCCTTGTATTGTAATGGCCGACAAGATTTGAGGCGTAGGTCAAGTGAAACACCGAAAACAACTAATTTTGGGGCTTGTAATAAGAACATTTTTCGGCATTCAGTTGGTATGTATATTATACATCCTCGTAGATATTATAGCTGCTCAGTCGGTTGCAAATGCATATTTTAAACCGGGATTAGGGTCTCGAGTCAAGTCTATACAAACAACTACTAAAAATAGTAAAAATATAAACAAAATCAAGCAAGGGACTCAAGGCAGTCAAGGGTTTAGCCGATGTTCAACAAACGAAATGAATGCAAAATTTAGACCTCTTTACATTAAAAACACAATATTTATTTATCAATAGCATCATTATTCGATATTCTTGATACAAAGAATACGACATTTCAAATGTAGTGTGATTTGTGCGTGTTTTGAAATCAAAATATGTTTGTCAATATAAATTTTTTAGCAGGTGCCCATGTTATTTTCTTGAATGGGGTTATCTCCCTTGCTTCAAAGTATTCTTCACTAAGTAACTCTGGACCCGGTTCCTAGAAAATTCTTAAAGTAAGCACAAAGTCATGCTTCACATTTTCTTACATAAGAAGCTTATAAAAATACCGTCCCTAGAAAATGCTCAAGACCATTCTTACGTAAGCACAAGTCAGGTATAAGTCTAAGCACATTGTGACTGGTAAAGTTTACCATAAACTGGGACTACTATGCTCTTTAACGTCATAAAAACAACTTTGGTATGCGAATTACGTCATAAATTTGTCGTCTGCTTCATTGACGTCATATACATGTATATATGGTTGATTTAGATGCATTTGACATGTCCCCTATACACATATAAAATGTGCCACAAGATAAAAAAAAACAAAAACGCAGACTCATACAAACTAACTGAATAATTGTGAGAGCGCCTGATCTTAAAGTAGCCTGTGTGTTTGTAGCCTATTGTTTACTAATTGGCAAATAAATAAATAAAATGGTTTCTCAGGGTAGGCCTAGAAGCAAAATTTTCTATAGCATTCCTAATTTGAAATTTCTTCTGGCGAAGGATTTTCTCTGTCTTGTAATTGTCTCTTTGGTATCAAAAGGTGTCGGAAATGCCGTCGAATAACTCAACGGTCAGCCATCTTTTTGAAGCAGAAACAGACTTAAGGTTGGTAAGCAAGCCCTATACCTTGCCTGGAACTTGTGCTTAGATTGACTATGTTTAAGAACAAAGTTGTGCTTAAGTTTTTTCTTGGAACGCATAATAACATTCTTGTGCTTACAATGAAGTCTACTTAAAATCTAAGCATAAGAACGTTCTTAAGAATTTTCTGGGAACACAAAATAAGGTAAGTTTACTTAAATGCAAAGTCTACTTAAATCTAAGCACAAGAATGTGCTTAAGAATTTTCTAGGAATCGGGCCCTGGTATTGGGGCCAATGAATGAAATAATTTGCGTGATCTGATGTGTTATTTCTGTTGTCAGTGATGGGACAAGCAGTAATACATTCGGTAGCACTATTTACACAAATCCACCATTATTATTATTTCAACTCTTATTTATCTATGGTTGATCATAATATACTGTTGTTTTGCCAAATTAGCATTTTAACTTAACATAAGTAAAAGTTAAAATCGTAGCATTTTTGTTTCAAAAATACAATTTCCAAGCAAACTATTTCCTTTGGTTATGTCCCTTGCTGACAACTTTTGTGGAAATCACATTTTGAAACAAAAATGTTATGATTATAAATTAAAAATGACAATTTGGCATAAAGAATGATATATTTATCAAATATCAATATAAATTAAATTGTCTTTGAAATAATGGTGGATTTGGGTAAATTATGCTACCTGACATATAACAAATTTTTATACCCCCACATTTTCATGTGGACGTATATTGTCGTCACTCGTCCGTCTGTCCACAATTGTTTGTAAATACTCTACAGGTCACAATTCTTATCCGATTTCAATTAAACTTTATCACCCAAAGATCTCGGTTCCTTTCGATATTGGCATGTATCCGACTGTAACTTCATGGATTATGGCCCCTGATTGTACGAAAAATCACGTTTTTAGCTTGTGAACACTGTAGAGGTCGCAATTTTTATCCAATTTCGTTTAAACTTGAAATGTATGTTTATAACCCACAGATCTCGGTTCCTTTCGATATTCGCGCATATCGGACCATAACTTCCTGAAATATGGTCCCTGATTGTATGTAAAATCACGTTTTTAGGTTGTGGACCCTATAGAGGTCACAATTTCTATCCGATCGTAATGAAAATTTAGAGTCCATAACTGAAACAAAGTCTAAAAGCTAGCTAACCAAGTCGTTCAAAGGTGACAAGGGTTAAAGGTCAAATTTTGGGTCACAAAATGACGTTTGAGTGGATTTGATTTTGATTAAATTGTCTTGTCCGGGATTATTTCTATGAGTTTCACTGCACAAAATGACTGCTTAAGAGCATAAAATGCTGTACGAATGCTATTTAAGAGCTAATTAATTAGCACTAATTTGTGACCATAGTTAAAATTTAGAGTCCATAGCTGAAACAAAGACTAAAGCCTAACCAAGTCAGGAAGCTAAAAATATCACTTAAGAGTGACAAAAGTTGAACAAACTTGGCTTAAATAAAGGGACAATTTCACTCTTGCTGTAGTGTTACTACATAAAATGTCCCAATCTTTATTCTGGTCAACAAAATGTACTATTTTACAATATTCCATTTAATTGATGATATAAATTTCATCTTAACACACCTAATTTAAAAAATTGGAAAATTTCAACTAGGCCTTGAGTGTTTTCACAATTTCACTATCAATGAAACTAGTAAATCTGTCTACAAACAGGAAAAAGGGGAATCCAATGTCGCGCAAGCGTAAAAGATGTCAGCTTACTATAGACTGCTCGCTTTTCGCTATGATATGATAGATATGACTGACAGTTTAACTTTTAGAAAGCATAAACTGCTACGATTCATCCCAAACGATGATTCCATTCTTTCCGGTAAGTTTATATTATTTACTTATACTCTCAAGGCTTCAAAATCTGTGACAAAGTGCGCAGTGAATGATTGGAATTTCGATACCTGTGGCCGTTGTCATTGTTGATCATACCATTACTACTAATAATACTTCACCTCGAGTAAACTGATTATCACTGGCTTTGCCTGGTTACTTAATTGATGGAACAAACTGTCTGATTATCTTTAAAATTAGACGATTGTCTTCATTATTAGCTTTGATTAGGCCTAATCTTGGCATGGCTTCACCAAGCTGCATTTTTTTATTATTATTGATTGATCATAGAACTGATTATTTGAAGTTTCACCCTCAGTCAGTAATATCAACTCAAGCTAGATAAATTATTCATAAGATTTATTTCTGCAGTTGGAACGGATCAGAACAATTTCTTGTGTGTAATTATTAATTTTAATTAGACATATTGGCTATAATTTTATATGAATTCTGGAAAACCTTATTTATATACTTGCATTTTGGTTTTACAGGTATTTCAAAAGCAGTCTATTTGAGATTAGTTAAAACTGGACCAGATCTACCGTTTTTTTGTGTCGGACATGCCAGGTGGAATCATTAGATTCATTACCCTGTATTGAAAACCCCCACCACCTACTTTACCAACTAATCCAGAAGCTACTAATGCAACACAACCTTCAAAATCAACAGCACCATCTATATCAAGGACAATAAGATCTAGACGAAAGTTCCAAATACATATAACATGTCATGAAACCACCTCTCCATCCACCCCCACTGAGTCCAAAAAAGGCTAAAGACAAAAAGGGAAAACTGGCACAACAAGGGAGTGAGTTGAAAGACTCAGAAATGAATGAACAGAGGGACTCAAAGTAAGAACAAACTTTCTTTTAATAGTCGTAATATATTTACACAGAAACAAAAACGGCAAATAGAACAATATTTACAAAGAACAAATTTTTATTCGCCCACATTGAAATGTGGACATATATTGCCGTCGCCCCCATCCGTCTGTCGGTCCGTCCATCCGTCCGTCGTCCACAATTTCTTGTGAATGCTCTAACTCCAAAAGTTATCATCCGATCTTTCTGAAATTTACATGCATTATTTAAATTAGTGAAACGAAGAAGCCTATTAAATTTCAGCAATTTCCGTTTATTACCTCTAGAGTTATGGCCCTTGTTTCACTTTATTAAACCTTGTGAACGCACTAACGCCAAAAGTTATCATCCGATCTTTCTGAAATTTATATGAATTATTTAGATTACTGAAACGAACAAGCCTATTGAATTTCGGCAATTTCCGTTTATTACGTCTAGAGTTATGGCCCTTGTTTCACTTTATTGATCCTTGTGAACGCTCTCACGTCAAAAGTTATCATCCGATCTTTCTGAAATTTTTATGCATTATTTAGATTGCTGAAACGAAGAAGCCTATTGAATTTCAGCAATTCCTGTTTATTACGTCTAGAGTTATGGCCCTTGTTTCACTTTATTGATCCTTGTGAACGCTCTAACGTCAAAAGTTATCATCTGATCTTTCTGAAATTTATATGCATTATTTAGGTTACTGAAACAAAGAAGCCTATTGAATTTCCGCAATTTCCGTTTATTACGTCTAGAGTTATGGCCCTTGTTTCACTTTATTGATTCTTGTGAATGCTCTAACGCCAAAAGTTATGAACCGATCTTTGTGAAATTTATATGCATGATTTAAATTAGTGAAACGAAAAAGCCTATTGAATCTCAGCAATTTACAATAATTACTTCTAGAGTTATTGCCCTTGTTTCACTTTGTTAAATCTTGTTAATGCTCGATTGATGAAAGTTATCATCCGATATGTATGAAATTTTTATGCATCATTTAAATTTGTGAAACAGGTCTATTGAATTTCAACAATTTCCGTCAATAATTTCTAGAGTTATGGCGATTGTGAACGTTTTAATGACAAAAGTGATCATGTGATCTGTATGAAATTTATATGCATTATTTAAATTAGTTAAACGAAAAAGTCTGTCAAATTTCAACAATTTCTGTAGATTACTTCCAGAATTGAGACCCTTGTTTCAGTTTGTTTGTAAACCCTCAAACGACAAAATGTATAATCTGATCGGATT